GTTCCCCACACCCACTTTATACCACCATCGTGTAATCTTTGTGAAAACACATGATCACACCACATTACCGCCACAGACTGACCACTTATGAATGACCAAAGGTCCTGGTGCTGCCTCAGCTTTGCAGCAAAGTCACACCGTAGTCTTCTGAAACAGGAAGGACATTTTATGAATCCTTTCTTGCTTGTTGGCTGGTTTGGAGGAACACAGGAGCTGAGAGCTCAGAACAAGAGAACAGTCAAAGAGAAGTTAGAACCAGACTTTGCTGATGTGTCAGCCTGTACAAGTTCTTGCTAAACTTTGTTAAATTCATAATTTCATAATTCATAATCATAAAAATGTGTGTTGGGGTTTCTCACCTTTTTCATGTCTGACCGGTGCCGTTTTGTTTTTTTCCGCTGGTGTCCGGGTGGCACACATACAGTGGGGCAAAAAAGTATTTAGTCAGCCACCGATTGTGCAAGTTCTCCCACTTAAAATGATGACAGAGGTCAGTAATTTACATCATAGGTACACTTCAACTGTGAGAGACAGAATGTGAAAAAAAATCCATGAATTCACATGGCAGGATTTTTAAAGAATTTATTTGTAAATCAGGGTGGAAAATAAGTATTTGGTCAATAACAAAAATTTCAACTCAATACTTTGTAACATAACCTTTGTTGGCAATAACAGAGGTCAAACGATTACTATAGGTCTTTACCAGGTTTGCACACACAGTAGCTGGTATTTTGGCCCATTCCTCCATGCAGATCTGTAACTTATGTTGCTGCGACGCGTTGTGGCTGTTTTTCAGCATCTGTTCATAATCGTTTATGAACATTTACAAAACAGATTTTGAATCGGCATGTGTCACATAGCCATGCATCAATTACAGGGTGAACTCTCGGGGGGGGGGGGGGGGGGGGGGGGGGGGGGGTCGGCTGTGTTGGCTTCACACCTCGGGCTGTGTGTGCTGTTGTGGTTACATATGTGTCACCAGGGGAGGTGTTAGCACATGGTTAAGCTCTGACACGCATTAAAGCATGAATTAGAACAAATGATGTTAAACTCACTAGGAGAGCTGCAGTCAGAGGAAGCTAGATATGTTGGAATTTTAATGATTTCTTTATTTACGGTTGATTTAAAATGCATCATCATCAATCATCTGTTACACACACAACATGAGGTCATTTGTAGCCATTCATTTACTGTCCTTGTTTATGGAATGATCTCTCTCTCTCTCTCTCTCTCTGTGTCACTCACTCTCTCTCTCTCCTCTCTCTCTTCTCTCTCTCTCTCTCTCTCTCTCTCTCTCTCACTCTCTCTCTCTCTCTCTCTCTCTCTCTCTCTCTCTGTCACTCACTCACTCACTCTCTCTCTCTCTCTGTCACTCACTCACTCTCTCTTTCTCTCTCTCTGTCACTCACTCTCTCTCTCTCTCTCTCTCTCTCTGTCACTCACTCTCTCTCTCGCTCTCTCTCTCTCTCGCACTCTCTCTCTCTCCTCTCTCTCGCACTCTCTCTCTCGCACTCACTCACTCACTCACTCACTCACTCTCTCTTTCTCTCTCTCTCTCTCTCTCTCTCGCTCTCTCTCTCTCGCACTCTCTCTCTCACACTCTCTCTCTCTCTCTCTCTCTCTCGCTCTCTCTCTCTCGCACTCTCTCTCTCACACTCTCTCTCGCACTCACTCACTCACTCACTCACTCACTCACTCACTCACTCACTCACTCACTCACTCACTCACTCAGTCACAGAGGGATCTCATCACCCCACAAGTGTTGAAGTCTCCAGTACTTTTGTCTCTGGAAGCACTTAGGAACAACTACAACAAGATTTAAGGTGTATGGGTCCAGCTCCAAGGCAGCATAAGCATTCCATGGTTGTATTCATCATCTAACCAGTAAGTCTTACTGGTAGTTATGGTGTTTTTGAGAGTTTATCCCAGTCCTGCTCACCATCCACTAGCTCTGTCTGTGCAGAGACACAGCTGATTATTTAAAAACTTTTCAACCAGCCAGCTGGTTATTAGCCTGTCTTCATGTTAACCAGCTGGTTATGGCGGTTATTAGACTGTCTTCATGTTAACCAGCTGGTTATGGTGGTTATTAGTAGGGGTGGGAATTAATTATTTAATTAGTTTTTATCAATATCAATGGCATTGTTGATTCAGTCTATTGAGCCAGTCTCTTATCAATTCCAGGGTAGTTAAACAAGTGGCAAAAAACTAATAGCACACGGCCTCCTGCATCATTACTGTCAAGTTTCTTTATGATAAATAATCAGTTGTATGTGTATCAGTTGGAGAGATCCTTCCAAATGTTCTCCTTTATGCTCCATGTGAAGGCAGCGTCATCTTCTTGCTGGGTGCAGTGTTGCTGTAGCTTTTGTAGAGCGAGACAAATCTCACCACAGGTCAGTCACTGGAGTCTGCTAGTGTGGAGGTGTGTATAAGGTAAAGGACGCTAACATGATAGGCAGTGTTAGTTGATTAGTTACCGTAAATCCTCTAATACAGGCCCGGGCCTGTATTTGACTCAAGCTCATCAAGCGCCAGGCCTTTATTGGAAGGAGGGCCAGTATTAGAGGCAGGCCTCTATTTCTATTTGAGCAAAATGAACTAATGGTTCGCTGGAGTTTTTGACAATTAAAATTGCGCCCACATTTTCAAAGTTAAACACATTTCTTTTAACAACGGTAGTCCCTGCTTCAGCCCTCTCCCCCCTCCCCCTGCGCAGCGGCCGCAAACTCACTGATGCGCCTGCAGCCTCTCGGAGTTCCTGCTGCTCTAAACATTAAAATAATTATTTCATTTTCTGTTCCTCACTTCTGATGACCTTCAATGGTGCCTGTTTGTTGCAACAGCAGGTACAAAAACTAACTTGTTTTTATTTGACTATTTTTCTGTCCTGTCTGTTTATTATCTTCCTGCATCTCCTCTCAATCCTAAAGAAAAACTGCTACCTGGGTTCATATATATTCACCTCATGAGTTACCTTTGAACTGCAGTTCTAAAAGATCTACCGACCGCAAAAACAGCGGAGCGCTTGCTGTTTGGCGGCTGTATCAGTGATCAGTGCGTCGGAGGACAAGGTGATGCGCGCAGCGTCCCGCTCCACAGCATGCAGCAAAACGCATCAGGCGCAAATAAAAGACAGAAAACATTAAAGGAAATGAACTGACATGAACGATCGCGTGTTAAATTAGTTTTTGAGGTGGCGACACCTGATTGTTACTGTGGCCGTGCTCAGGAGGCAGATCTACCGACCGCGAAAACAGCTGAGCGCTCCCTGCTGTGATCTGTGCGTCGGAGGACAAGTTGATGCGCCCCGCTCCACAGCAGCGATACACATCAGGCGCAAATAAAAGACAGAAAACATTAAAGGAAATGAACCGACATGAACGATCGCGTGTCAGTACCTACGGTCTGGCACTTAAGTTTTACCCCCAAAAAGAGAATCTGATCATACGATAATTCAATAGGGAGCGTGGTTTCACAGACGCGGAAGTGATAGCGTCGGTGAAACGCCGGCTGCTCTAGGAAACCCCCGAGCGTTCGAGCGTCAACGAAGTGAAACGGAAATGCCGGGCTTTCCAGAAGTAAGTAAGATAACTTACTATGAGCTGATAGTTCGTTGGATTGATCGGTAGGTTGGAAACTCTGATCGTGAATCTGAAGAAACGATGACTGAGTGGTGAGCTGGAAAGGCGACTTCCGTTTATAGCCGCGGTTTGTGACGTAGGTGCGACGTGAAGGGAATCCCCGCGAGGGGCATGCTGGGAGTCCCTACTTCGCGGATTTTCACCTATCGCGGCCAGGTCTGGAACGCATCTACCGCGATAAACGAGGGATTGCTGTAGTTCATACACCCCCTACTGCTGCTCCCCAGAGTGTTCTGCAGCATAATCAGCATGTTCTCTTTGAACTTGATAGTGTTATGACCTGGCTGGGGTTGTAAGCCAGGTGCATTCTGGGTATTGTCTTATATGTGTTTCCTATCGTTCTGCTAGTTCCTATGTGCTGATTTGCGTGTTGTGTGAGTGTTATGTAAGCCACAGGGAAGGTGATGTGTGTTCTGTGGAGCGGGTTGAATTAGCATGGTTAACTGACACCGTGACTCTGTGTGGTAGGAGCGTGATAGAGGATCGTGTCTGTAGCGTCTCAAAGCGTTGAAGAAAAGGCCTAAAAAAGGTCTGCGTGAACTTCTACTGCCTCCTGCTGGTTGATTTGGGGACTATAACCCTGCCGCTGGGACGCTCGTACTTGCTTGTTACCACATGCCATCCGGCCACAATAAGAGACCGGCCATTATTTACCTCCACTGACTCCGACACCGGCCAGAATTGGAGACCCGGCCTTTAATTGAATACCGGCCTGTATTAGAGGATTTACGGTACCTGCAGTAAGGAGAGGATGTGTGAATGTCACCGCTGCTGCTGCATTGATATTCACTTGTTCTGAACGGGTCAGAACACGTCATTAATTCTAAGTTATTGGGTATTTTGTGCCTAAATGCTTTTTCCTTCCCTTGATGAAGTATCTACTATGCAGTTATTGCAAGTTACCCTGTTGTCATGCTTTCTTGTAAAGTATAACCAAACTTTCAACCATTAGTACCGCTTAGACGCCATGTTTCCTGCTTCCATAAGCTACGCAAGGTGCGCGGTGATGTCATTCACGCCCACTGGAATCGATGTGGTAAATTGTTATTAGCCTGTCTTCATCTTAACCAGCTGGTTATGGTGGTTAATAGCTCGTCTGGTTATGGTGGTTAATGGCCTGTCTTCATCTTTACCAGCTGGTTATGGTGGTTAATAGCTCGTCTGGTTATGATAGTTAATGGCCTGTCTTCATCTTAACCAGCTGTCTCCACGGCTGACACCACACCAGTCACTGAAAGTGGCCGGACCGATCTCAACCACTACTGAGTGTTAGCTGGTGGACTCCATGTTATGAACCTGCTGCTTTTGCTCTTCCTCCAGCCCTTCAGTGTCACTGTGATCGCTGCAGCGCCAACTCCAGCTGCACGACAGATGGCGTCTGCTTCGTGGCCGTCAGGAGGTCAGGTAGTCAGCTGATTACGGAGGGACGCCAGTGTGTTCCTGAAGTTGAACTGATTCCTCGTGACCGGCCCTTCATCTGTGCTCCATCTTCCAAGCTGGACACTGGTGTCTACCCGACCTGCTGCAACTGGGACTTCTGCAACAAGGAGCCAAACATCGGCCCTCCGAGTAAATGCAAACTCACACACCCCAGTGCACACACAGCCACGCTAGAGTGTGTCATGCTTGGACATGTGAATGTCTCTGATTGGGAAGATGTTTCTGACTTCATTCTGTACACAAGCCACAGTTTAACAGTAGAAACTTTCTTTTAGGTGTTAAAATAAAAAATATTAAAATTTTAGTAACGTGTGTCCTAGCGCAACGCCACAGGTTTCTGCTAGTTTGGTAGTCTGGTTTAGTGTTTGTGAATCAGAGACATCACCAGCACACTAGCTAGTCTGGCTGGCTAGTGAGGCAACATTCTAATCTGTTAACTTTCTTTTAAAACACTTTTATTTTTAACTCTAAACAAAGACGAGATGCAAAGATGCGCAGGCATCGGAGTGTTGCAAAGCAATTCTTCGCCAGGACGACAGAGGGCGTGGCACCTTTCTGTGGTATCCTGTCACCATAACTCATGTATCCAGTCCATGATGGTGTGTTTATTAATGTATTTATATATTTCAGAACTTTATCACACGGACAAATTTGTCCTTAATTCTCATCCACATCTTCATATGGTAACCGCCTCTAAACCCACATTTCCTGTCGTTTCTGTCCACGTTTGCTCCGTATTTTGTACTCCTTCAATTACGGGCGAATAAACGTTCATATTTTCAGACTTTTTCCACGATGCATGCTTCAATCTGTTCTGGATCTGTTGCTAAATGTCTTTACTTTTTAATGGAGCAATGGCGGTGCTGGTGACAAATTTACAGGAAGCGGCATCCTGACCTATCAAACGTGGGGATGTTTAAAATTTTGGGCATGTCTTTGCCACCCACTGTGAGCCCGTTGGAGAGCACCTTAATGGCGTTGTGTGTCCCCGCACCGACGGAGACGGAGAAGTATAAATCAGGCTTAGAGCACCAGTTTTCAGATTTGACTCATCACACAAGTGTGTAAGTATGTTGGCTAATCCAGTGTGTGTGTGTGTGCGTGTGTGTGTGTGTGTGTGTGTGTGTTCGTAGCCCCACCCACCAAAAGCACACCCCCAATGGGCCCCGTGGCCCTTGCAGCTGTCATTGCTTGCCCAGTATGCGTGCTCTGCCTGCTGCTGGTCTTGGCATTCTACATTTGCCACCATAGAGGTCTGGGGGCTGGAGGAGCTGGAGCCCTCCACCATCGTGTGCCCAATGAGGAGGACCCCTCCATGGACCACCCCTTTATCACTGTTGGAACAACGCTGAAAGACCTCATCTACGACATGACCACCTCAGGCTCTGGATCAGGTACAGCTCTGCACTTCCTTTTGTTGTCTTGTCTTTTTGGGATTCAGACTTTTTTAAAAAGGAAGTGTTGCTTCAGCAGAAGCTCTACATGGTCACTCGGTCCCCCCTGAGTCTGATCATGAGTCAGTCAGAACATGAGTAGGACCATACAATGAAATGATATTGTTTGCTTCTGCTAGAGTGTCTTTGTCCACCAGAACCATTTTAGATGTGACTGTAGCAGGTTAATGGATTTTCTGATTAAATAATCCTGTGTGGCTAGCAGCAGGCACTGCAAAGCAGACGTGTAGATTGAAGCATCTTTTAGAAAGCAATGCTGCCAAGAAGGGTTGTCACGGTAACCGGTGTAGCGGTAAACCCCTGTAAAAAAGTTGACAATAATAATAACCGTCTTGTTTTTAAAAAAACTATATAATCTTGGTGGATTACCGTGGCTGCGGTGTAGGCGCGGTGACCCTTACCAGCCACCGTATCATCTGCTGAAGTTGCCGGCGGCACATGCGCACTTTGTTGTTTACAACCAAAACTTTCTTGAAGCTAAAGCTGAAATAATGGCCAAACGAGGAGACGGCAGCGCTCAGGACATTTATTATCCCTCAAACAAGACAAAGTGGGTAGTACGGGCATTTTTTGGATATCTGAAGAATGCCGAGGGACAGTTGATAGAAGACGGCTATCCTGTTTGCAGCACGTGCAGAAACAGTGTCTGTGAAAGGCAGCAACGCTTCAAATCTCATGACACATCTGCATGACCATCACCCACAACTTTACAGTCAACGCAAGGCAAGCTAACGTTAGCGTTTTAGCTAAAATGCGTGATCCGAGGATTTGGGTTAAGGGAGAATGCAACGAGTGGCTACATAAAGCAGCCGCAGCGCCGCTACCTGCATATACACAACAAATGAACAACATAATTACAAAATAACACATTTCAGGCAAAATTTAGACACAAACTGAGGACAATATTTTACTGATATACAGGGTTTATTTAGTTGTCTGAAAATGTAACACATTTAAAAAAATACCGCAATAATACCGAAAACCGTGATAATTCTGGTCACAATAATCCAATCCAGTTTTATTTATAAAGCACTTTAAAAGACCCAGCACAGGAACAAAGTGCTGTACAGAAAATACATTAAAACAATTGACTAAACAGAAAACAGCAAAGATAAATAAATAAATAAAACACATGATACATAAAATTAAAATAGCCCTATATTAAAAAATAAAAACTAGATAGAACTTGATAAAACCACATTGAATCACCTAAAAGTGCTAAAATAAAATAAAAAATAGAAACCAACATCTCACAAGGTATCAAAAGCCAGGGTAAAGAGGTGAGTTTTCAAGAGTGACTTAAAAACAGATAAGGAACTTGCCTGTCTTATCTCTAATGGAAGTTCGTTCCACAGTTTTGGAGCTGCTAGAGCAAAAGCGCGATCTCCTCTAAGTTTACGCCCAGTCCTGGGTACAATCAGGAGCAGCTGATCAGCAGACCTGAGAGAGCGGGAGGGAGTGTAAGGCTGTGTCAGGTCAGAGAGATGAGAGGGGGTGAGGCCATGAAGACCTTTAAAAGCAAACAAGAGAATTTTAAAATGAATCCTAAAAGAAATGGGCAGCCAGTGAAGTGAAGCTAAAACAGGGGAAATGTGCCAGTTAAAAGACGAGCTGCGGCATTTTGCACCCTCTGTAGGTGACTAATACATGATGCACTGACCCCAATATAGAGTGCGTTACAGTAATCCAGCCGAGTGTTACAAAGGCGTGGATCACTGTCTCAAAGTGCTGCCGTGAAAGAATTGGCTTTATTTTTGCATGCTGCCTGAGGTGAAAGAAGCTAGAATTTACCACCGCCTTAATCTGATGTTCAAACTTCAGATCACAGTCCACTTTGACCCCCAGGTTGGTGACCGTTGGCTTAACAAACTGGGCCAAGGAATCTACAAACACATTGGGGGTCTCAGTAGGACTACCAAAAATCATCACCTCTGTCTTTTTATCATTGAATTTTAAAAAGTCACAGACATCCAAGCCTTCATGTCGTCAAGACACTGAAGTAATGGCTGTATGAGGTTTCTGCCTTTTTTCTTTAGAGGGACATAGATCTGACAGTCGTCAGCATACAAGTGGAAGGCAATGCCATGTAACCGTGAGGTTACATTTTCACTCTGCGACAAGCCTACTGCCAAGTTGCCGCAAAGCTGAGCCGGCATCCAGGAGCCTTAGGTTGTTTATAAGTGATCCAACCGTGACGGTGTTGTGGCACAATCATGTCCTTTTTACTAAAGATTATGCAATGGTGGTAAAAAGGGGGCAGGGGCGGTCTCTGCGCTGTCACAGACTTCCTTTTGTCTTGGACATAACTTGCTTTTATTGCGATCAAAGCTGCGCTCCTTAAGTTTGTTTGATAAGCTTCTCCTGAAAGTGTCTGTCCCCCACAATCCCCATGATTGGTCAGGTGATCGGAGCTCTGCATCGCTCCAGTTTATAATCTCAGCTGGTTCTGTCTACAAAAGTGAAACTTACTGCCCGTGCTCACTTTCAATATGGTTTCCTGCTGGAGCTCTGGGCAGTAACTCCCCACGTAACCTCCCTCTGTTGGGCCCAGGCGATATGCATTCACAAGTACGGCTCTGCGGTAATATTACGACCAAACTTGGCGGAACAAAAGTCGCAAAATTCCCATAAGACACACCGCGGCGACAGTATTACGCTGATTCACCGACATGACGCGTCTTCTAAAAAGGGCTTAAGTGTTGATGAGCAGAGTCCAGGGACACGGTCTACTCCTGGTTCTGGTTCTGGCTGGAACATGGCCACCCTCTTCCTTAAGTCAGGAGGAAATTGGCATCCATCCATCAGACTGGCACCTCCAGTATGCTGCTGAAGATGGGGCAGAATTCCCATTAACACCATAGTGCTGCATTTTAGGTTTAATATCACTCATCCTAGTCTAAATAACAACCTAAGTATATCGGTGGAATTTAATTATCTCATTAGCATGTTCAGTGGTAAGCTACTGGAAATGCTAGTACCATTTCATTTCTACTGGTAACAATGTAGTTGTGGCATATGTCGGTCTACGGGGCGGCCCGCCAAACGCTGTCAAAGAAGAAGCAAACATCCTTTTTCCAAATAAAGGACTTGAGTACCTCTATCTGCTCCTGGCTCAAACAAAAGCCCAAGTCTAAATAGTCGAGAGTTGATGCCAAAGTTTAAAATGAGCCGTCTCCATCTTTGTTTTGCTCAGTCTCCGTAACATCACACTCCTCAAACCAATGGAGCGCTGTGATTGGCCGGTCGCCAGACTGTGTGGGGCTGCAGAGGTTCCAGTGGAGCGTGGCTCCTCTTCTGCAGCTGATGGTCTATGTTCTAGGTTGTTGCTGCTCTTCACAGCACACTAGGTTACGTTTACTCCTGGTGTCGTGTCCCGTCCCCCTCTTCCTTCTCATTTACCTGCTGTCTTTGTGGACATGTCTCCTACCATCTTTATGCAGATGACATCCAACTGTACATCTCCTTTAAGCCCCATGAGATGTCTAAGCTGCAGCCGTTACACACCTGCTTAGACTCTATCAAAACCTGGATGGCTGGGAGCTTTCTACAGCTGAATGAAGATAAGACTGAGATCCTCATCTGTACCCCAGACAAGCTGGTTCCCAAAGTCAGAGACTCTCTTGGTCAGCTTGCTTCTCACACCAAATCTTCTGTCAGGAATCTTGGCGTGACCTTTGACCCAGCTCTCACCCTGGATTCTCATGTCAGTTCTCTTGTTCGCTCTTCCTTCTTCCATCTCAGGAACATTGCTAAGCTGAGTCCCATTCTGTCCCGCTCTGAACTTGAGACAGTTCTCCACACCTTCATCTCCTCACGCTTAGACTACTGTAACTCTCTTCACGTGTCTGAGCAGAACCTCCCTGAACCGTCTACAGGTGGTTCAGAATGCCTGTGCTCGGCTTCTGACCAAGTCCTCCAAACA